GTTGTATTTACCGCATGAGCGAGGAGGAGCTTACGGTCCTCCGCACGCAACTCGATGACTTGTTGGACAAAGGCTGGATCCGCCCTAGTAGCTCCCCATATGGAGCACCAGTTCTCTTCGTACGAAAGAAGAACAAGGATCTACGATTGTGCATCAACTACCGCAAGCTCAACGCGCAAACCGTCAAGAATGCGGGGCCTCTTCCTCGTATTGAACATCTCCTTGAGCGATTGGGTGGCAAGAAGTACTTTTCTAAGTTGGATATGAAATCAGGATACCATCAGATTTCGATCCGGATGAACGATCGCTATAAATTTGCGTTCAAGACACGGTACGGGCATTTTGAGTGGGTGGTCATGCCTTTTGGCTTCACCAATGCCCCGACGACCTTTCAAGCGGCAATGACCAACGAGTTCCGTGTGATGTTGGACCGGTTCGTGCTGGTCTACTTAGACGACATTCTCGTCTATAGTCAGATATTTGAGGATCATCTTGAGCACCTTCGACGAGTGTTGGAGACGCTCCGCAGCGCCAAGTACAAAGCCAACCGCGACAAGTGCGAATTCGTTCGGCAAGAGTTGGAATGCTTGGGCCATTTTGTCACACCGAAGGGCATCATTCCGTTGTCGGACAAGATTCAAGCCATCCAAGAGTGGTCGGAGCCGCGGAACGTCACGGATGTTCATTCGTTCCTTGGCCTTGTCGGCTACTACCAACGTTTTATCAAGGGATACTCGAAGATCGCGGCCCACTTGACCAAGCTTCAATGCGAGGATCGGTCGTTCAACTTTGGGGAGGATGCGTAGGAATCATGCTTGGCTCTCAAAGCCGCATTATTGTTCGCGGAGGTCTTGCGAATCTACGACCCGCTATTGCCAACGTGCGTCACTACGGATGCGTCCGGCTATGGCATTGGTGCCGCCCTCGAACAACACGAAGGCGTGGACTGGCACCCGGTCGAGTACTTCAGCAAGAAAGTGCCTGTCGTGCACTCCATTGATGATGCACGCAAGAAGGAGCTCCTAGCCTTCGTCCACGCGCTCAAGCGGTGGCGGCACTTCCTCCTTGGTCGAAGTCAATTCCGATGGGTAACGGACAACAATCCGTTGGTCTTCTACAAGACCCAAGACACCGTCAATAGCACGATCGCCCGTTGGATGGCTTTCATCGACCAATTCGACTTCTTTCCCAATCGCATTCCGGGGAAGTCTTAACCGTTTCGTGGATGCTCTTTCACAGCGTCCGGATGATTGTACCGCAATCTATTCGACCTTCGAGATCGACGACAACCTGCGGGACAGCTTCATCTGCGGCTACCAAGCCGACCCCGAGTTTCGCGACAAGTACATGAATTGCTCCTCTCCTAATCCGGCGCCTTCTCACTACCGAATCCAAGAGGGGTACTTGCTTGTCCACACACGGGGGAAGGACCTTCTTTGCGTACCGAGTGACTCTCACTTGCGTACACGGCTTCTTGGCGAGTTCCACGATGCTCTCACCACCGGACACTTTGGAGTCAATCGAATGATTGGCCGACTTCGCGAGCGCTTTTTGTGGCCCAGCCTTCTCGGCGACGTCACACGCTATTGCGAGTCATGCGAGGTTTGTCGATGCTGCAAATCCCGCAACCATCGCCCGTACGGCGAGTTCCTACCATTACCGGTCCCCTTGCGCCGGAGGGAAGCGATTGCCATGGACATTACCGGGCCGCTCCCCAAGCACAAGACCGGCGTGGATGGGATTCTCACGGTGGTCGACCGACTTACCAAGTTCGCCATGTTTTTGCCTCGCCGCTATCATGCCAAGGCACCGGAGTTGGTCGAGGTTCTTTACGCCGGTTGGATTCGAACCAAGGGTTACCCCAAGGAAATCGTTTGCGACCGTGACACTCGGTTCATGTCCGATTTTTGGTTGGCACTCATCAAACGATGGGGCTCATTTCTCAAGCTGAGTTCGGCTCGCCACCCCCAAACCAATGGCCAAACGGACCATCCACCCGATTGGGTTGAACGGCTGCCGGATGTCGAGTTAGCATACAACTCGTCCATCCACCCGGCTATCGGGACGTCGCCCTTCGAGTTCGAGCACCGCTCGCCGCTCACTTCTCCGTTGGACACAATCAGTCCACGAGCGGCCGAGAGCGACGACCATCTTCTTTTCTTGTGTCGGATGCAAGAGCTACTTGTCAAGGCGCGCGACCAGATGGCTAAGACGCAGCATCGCATGAGCCAACAGGCCAATCGCCAGCGTCTTCCTTGTCCATTCCGCGGCAGCGACCTCGTTTGGGTTTCCGCCGCGGAGTTCAACCTCGAACAAGATATCTCTCGCAAGCTCCTCCCGAAATGGATGGGGCCCTGGCCGATCGTGGCACCCGCGGGGGATGCACCCAAAGGACCTTCCTTCATCATTCAGGTGCCCGCCCACTTGCCCGTCTACCCGGTCTTTCATTGCTCCAAGTTGGCTCTTTACATGCCAGCGGAACATGACGATTTTCCCGGGCGACGRTCGCAAGACCCACCCTCTATGGATGGTTTTCAAGAGGTCGGCGACATCATCTCCCAACGACTCTACGGCAACAGACCGACCGAATACTTGGTACACTTTGCGTACTGCACCCACAAAGCTGACCGTTGGTTGACCCGTGCGGAACTCCAAGCAACAGCTCCAGATGTTCTCGCCCGCTACGAATGCAAGACGCAAGGCAAGCCGGTATCTTCGGCTCCACACCGCACCCGCGTACAGGTTCCACCTTCAGATCGTCAGCTTTGCCCTCGACCCGGCTTGACTTCATAAGGAGGGGAAGGTGTTACATGCTGCGCCTGCAAACGAGGGTCATTTTCAGGCCTTGGGTCGTTTCAGCCTGAAAGCCTGAAAACAAGGGCCTAAAGGCCCTGTGTCGTTTCAGCCTGAAAGCCTGAAAACAAGGGCCTACAGGCCCTGTGTCATTTCAGCCTAAAACAGGGCCCTCCAGGCCCTGAGTCTTTTCAGCCTGAAATGAAGGGCCATTTTCAGGCCCTCATAAGATCGACCTGCCCTGAAACTTGGGCACCAGACAAGGGTTTTAGCACAGGCCATTTTGGGCTTGTTTTCAAGACAACCTTTGTTTGAACTTCAACGCCAGGGTCTGGCACATTTTGGCATTGGCAAGAGCAGCCTCCTGGACGGGCCAGCACTATATAAGACTGGCCCGCCCTGCAGGCTGCAGGTAGTTCATAGGGGACTTCCCAGGCACTTCACGTGCAGTTCAGGAGGCAGGAGGTAGTCTTCAGGATTCAGCAGCAGCACTCTGGAGGAGCGCTGCAGTAGTAGTAGTAGCGTTCAAAGTAGTCTTCAGCGCTGGGCGCTAGTAGGAGCTAGAGTAGCACTGGAGAGAGAGAGAGAGAGAGTTGGTGGAGGCCAGGGAGACTTACCTGCAGCGCCATAGCTCCAGCTTCGCCTTCGAGGTACCTGCAGCACGGCGCCATCTTCAGATGTTAGTACCTGGCACGTGAGAGAGAGAGAGAGAGAGAGAGAGAGAGAGA